CGACAAAACCAGCGCTCCCGCCCGAGACTTCTTCCCGTTTTGCGTTGGACTGGCGCCCTACTGTTTTTTGGAGTGGCGCCGCTCCCAGCAAGAACAACGCTCCCGCTCGAGGCTTCCTCCCTTTTCCCTCAGGACGGTGCTGTTCCTCGCCGCCAACAGCCCCCGTCCAGACAAAACCACGGCTCCCGCTCGAGACTTCCCCCCTTCTTACTCAAGGCGGTGTTCCTCCTCGCCGCCGACAAGCGCCGTCCCAACAAAATCAGCGCTCCCGCTCGAGATTTCGTTTTTTTTCCGCTGGACTAGCGCCCTACTCTCTTCAGCATTGGCGCCACTCCCAACAACAACAGCGGCCCTGCTCGAGACTTCCTCCCTTTTTATTCAGGATCAAGTCATTGCCTCGCCGCCGACAGCCCCCATCCCCACCAAGGCAATCCTGTCGCTCGATATTTCCTTGTGTTTTACCCTTGGCTGGGGTTCCACTGGCGGTCTCGCATCGGCGCAGCAAGGCGCGGGCATGCGTTTTCTAGGCGGGATATGTTGGAATTTCTAAGCGGAGGTTGTTGCAAGACCTCATTGGGCGGGTAATAGGGGAATGGGAATAACAGACCCCGCTATAGAACAATAGTGCCCACAGTGGGGATGGTTATCATGATGGTCGCATGCTTCGTGTGGAAACATCGCGCATGAAAGTAAACTGATTGTTGTTGTTGCTACGGAGTTCGCAACTTCTGAAAATTATGATTGTAGACGACCCCCTCTCCAATAACCATTGGTTCGACCTTAAAATGTGTATCTCGGGTCCCGCGCCCTGTTTCTAACAGAAAGGAACTGACATATCACCAAACTGCACCCGTGGCCCCAGGTTTACAACAAGAGCGGCTCCCGCATGACACTTCATCGCAATGTATTCCCACATCGCGCTCCTTCACGGGACTTCTTCGCAGTTTACACAAACATCGCGCTCTCGCGTGGGACTCCCTCACAATTTGTTCAGACGCCGCGCCCTCGACACTCAGGAATCACGCTCCCGCTGTGAATCTCCACGCGACTCATTAGGGAATCGCGCTATTGCTTGATATTTCATCGCGATTTATGCATGACGCACGCTTCGGCAACCCGCCTGCCCCTTGTCCCTTCCATCCATCCGTCCTCTCTTCCCCTGCCTCAGGGGGTGCGCGAGACACGCGCTGTAAAAGAGGAATTGTTGAATGACACGCGAACAGAAAAGAGCGAGCAACATGTATTCCCCAAGCAATGCTTCCACTTAGGGGTTCTTGTTTGGCTGAACCATCTCGGGGTGGATGGCGGCTTTTGAGGACGGTGCGGCCCGTCGCCGCCGTCGCTGTCGCCGTCGCCGTCGCCGCCCGTCGTCGCCGTCGCCGCCGTCGCCGCTGCTCGGGGCGAGTGGCGGTTTTTGCGGGCGGTGCCGCCCGTCGCCACCATCCCGAGGCCGGACTTATCGCCCCCCCCCTGGGATGTGCAGATTACATACGTTTCTGGCCCATCGCCCATCCGAACTAAGAATTCATACCACCCCAGCCCAACCAGTATCGACCTCCCGCGCCATCCTCTGCAACATGTACTATGCGCGCGCACCCGTTTATCACAACTCATCAGTTTTCAAGAATACCCTTGCACAAAATGTGACGAAGTGCACACGCGCGCGTCGTCGCGCGCATGCAGATTGTTTGGAGCACCTTAGGTTTCGCAAGAATTGCAAAATCGAGTGTCAACAAACATATCGGAATGACGTGGCTTCGCAACACGACTATTCAAGAAAAGTTAGCGCGCGCGTTTTTTCCATATGTATACAGATATGGCAAAGCTGTCTCAAGATTTCAGAACATGCTACGAAATTGGATTCGCCCGCGCGCATTTCGAAATCGTTCGAACGCCCTTGCGCGCGTGCTGTCGCGAGAGCCCTTCAGAACATGTCGCAAAATGCACGCGTGCGCGTCGTCGAGCGCGCATGCCGGTTTTTTTGTTCAAGAACCTTGAGTGTCGCAAGGATGTCAAAACCGAGTGTTCCGAAGCCATAGAAAAACACACACACACGGTTTCACAATATCAGTGTTCACAAGTTTGCGCTCGCGCTCTTGTGGGCTCTTACGAAAGCCTAAGTTTACAACCTTATCATTGAATTCTGCCAAACGCGCCTCGCGCGCCGCATGCCGAAATCATTCGAACGCCCTTGCGCGCGTGCTGGAAGAAGGGGGGTGGTCCGTGTCAAAAAATGCCATGCGGCCACTCTCGCGCGTCGGCCGCGCGCGCACGTCGAACCACTTCCAAAACCTTGATCAGCATCGGCGCCGTCACTGGCCGCGCCGTCGTCGCTGTCAACATGGTCACCAGCATCGCTACTAGCATCGTCGTGTCTACCATTGTCGACGTTGCCGTGATACCGCGCCCGCCCAATTAACTTTCCGGCAAAGTGCACTGCTCGGAGGCCAAACAGCGTCTACAACCCGCTCTGCCTTGCAGAGCGCGCACAATGCTAGAGCATAGCATAAGGGACACTGGGGTGGCGGCCCTCAGGGATCCTGTTGACCCTTCTCTGCCGCGCGCGCCATGCACTGTCGAGGCGCCCATTCTCGTCTGTGCCCCGAGAATCGACCCAGGCAGGCAACTCCTAGGGACCTGCACCTGCCACGCACGTCACGCGCGAAAACGCCGCATCGGACGCACACGCTGTAGCCAAAGGCCGCCCTCATGGCATGGCCCCGAACATCGGTGGCCGCGTCGTCGGCCGCGGCAAGGCGACCCTCAATGCCCCCACGCCCGCCCAAGTCGCCGACTCGCAGTGAAGTGCCCGCTGAGATGTGCCCAGCGGTCAGCGCCACCGAGGCCGCGTCGGTCGCGCCAAACCAACTGGCCGCTGCGCGCGCGTGCTTGGTTTGGCGCGGCCGCAAAAATGCACCAGCCAACGCCAAACTCTCATCGCAATCGCCGCCGCATGGGTTTTGCAAACGTGTGGGTGGGTGGGTGGGATGTTTGCAAGAGTATGGAGTGTGTCAACTCGTTTGTAAAAAACAAATGCACCACACACATTCTCCTTTTGAGAAATACTTAGGTTCTACGCCCCCTCCTCGGGGCAACGGTTCACCTTCCCGCATCGCAATTTACATATGATGATGCCCCATCGTCCATCCCAGACGTGAATTCATATAATCCCAGCCCGCCCGATATCGACCCCCCCTCTCATCCTGTGCAAAACAAAGCGCGCACACTCGTTTATCAAAAATGATAAGCTCCCAACAATACCTTGCAACACACGCGACGAGGTGCACGCGCGCGCACCTGTTTGGGGAAAAACGCTTGCATCGATTGAGGGCACATTTTTTACTTCCGCCGGCCTTCCGCCGGTAGAGGCGGCCTCGTCTTACTTGCGCCGACCTTCCGCCGCCCTTCTACCGAGAAAGAAATAACAACTCCTTCTATCCTCGAAGGCGAGGCCCTTTTCGGAACGCTCCATATAGACTTTGCGCCGCGGCTTACGCCGGCCGCCATCGTGGCACACCGTGTGGGTAAGGACGCTTCGTTACGCCTTACGCACGACCGCACGCGGCAAACTCACACGCGGATGCCCGCGCAGTCGACCCCGTTTTCTTCTGTCGCTCGGTTGCCACCCGCACCGGTCCTGCGCGGGGCCGCTCTGAACCCGCGGTTCGGTGTGCTCGGTGTGCCACCAAGACGGCTCAAGAGGCCGCCAGTTTCACGCAATTTGTGATGCGCGGCGACGGGCTCAAGGCAGAGAGCACCGCTGCACACCATGCAGCGCCGTGCGAGGTGCCCTTTCGGGGACCTGGAGGCCAAGGCCACGCTGACGGCGATGTTGGTTAATGGCAGTGTTGGTTCGTTCGTTCGCAAGCCATGTCGCACGACACATCGGTTCAGCAGGGAAAAAAATCATGCCGCCCAGGATGAGCGGCAATCGTATATTACACCTAAGCAAAGATGAGGTCAATGGAAAGGCCATATTGATTGACAGTTGCTTTCCATGTTGGCTGTCTATGCGCTGCAAAACGAGGGTGCCTGAACAATGCGCTTAAAGCTTCGTCCGGGGGGAGGGAGGGAGGCGGGAGAGGAGGAGGCGGAAGGGGCGGGAGGGGACGAGGACAAGAGGCCATCGCTAGCTTGGCCTGCTCCTAGACAACCGGCGCCCACGTCAGACGAGGTCGCCCCCGCGCTCGAACGCCAACCGGTCGCAAAGGCACCGGCGAGCCCGGTGTCAGAACAGCAGCTCGTAGTGGAGACTGGTCTGGCAGGGAAGCGATCCGCCCGTAGACCACCAGTTGCCGCATCAATGCTACAATGCTCAGTCGGTGCTGGCGGGCTTGCCGCCTAACGTCCGCATTCGGTATGTGCGAGATCATTGAATGTGGCACGCCGTAAATCTTTCGGAGACACGGGGCCTGGAAGGCGTCGATCTTCTGCTTGTCAGCTTGGCGGAGGCAATGTTGGGGATCTGTTTTTGGCGACGCCGAACTCGTGCAGAACAAATGGCATGAAAACACGAACAAGCCTTTCCTACATTTGGGTTGGCCACGAACCACCCCCACCTACCATACAGAAACTTGCATCGCCGATAGCGTGTCCACGGGGGAGGAATGCCGCGGGCTAGCGGTGTCCAGTCAAGCACGGATGCGGCAGGCACACGGCGCACGAGTCTCGAGCCGAGCAGCGACGGTGGAGTAGAAGGCAGGGAGAGGGGAGGACTCGTCAACCGCCCCTGGAGAAGATCCCCTCTTCTCCACCGCCCCTCCCGCCTCGCGGTCCGCGGGAGCCGAGCCAGGTCGAGGAGGACGGGGAGGACAAGGACGAGGAGGACGATGTCCGACCACCAGCGCCGACGCCGCTGCCGATGACGGCCGACGGCCGACGCCGGCGACGACGCCGATAGCCGCGGCGCCGCCGACGCCGCCGACGCCGACCACTGCCGACCTCTGCCGACCGCGACGCCAACTGCAGCCGACGCCGACGACGACGCCGACGACGGCGTCCTCGTCCTCCGCGGCCGCGTCTTTCTTCGGGTTGGCGTCGAGCTGGCGCACCGCGTCGGGTGGCGCCGCGTCTGGGCGCTCCCGGTCGGGAGAGCTAGGGCCGCTTAGGCCGTCCTCGATCTCCTGCTGCTCCTTCATCACCTCGGTCTCGCCTGGAGGGGAGGGGGATGGGATCGACTCGGCAGGCGGACGCGGACCAAGCTCCGCAGCGCCGTCTGGGGTCCCTCCATTGCTGGAGGGGCCGCAGGCGTGGAACCTGAAGCCTCAAAACCAATTGCGGCAGTACTTGTCCCGCCGTGCCCGGCGGACGAAACCCACCCAGGCCCCCAACCATCCACCCTGAGGGGGAGAGAGGTGGAGAGAGGGGACAAACACACGACGTACGGCCGAGTCTCGTCGGCCACGTGCCGCCACATGGGGCCCGGTGCCTCCGCAGCGGTAGCGTCTGGGTCTGCCAAGAGAAAGGGAGATGGAACAGGGGGAGCGGGGGGGGGAGGAGAAAAAGCGAGGGCGAGGGCGAGGACGGCCAGGAGGAGCAGGGTGATTCGGGAGTGGGAGGGGGTAGTGGTGAGAGCGAGGGAGGGGAGGATATGGAGGGAGGGAGGGAGGGGTACGTACGACCACGACGGGGGGCTCCAACTGCTCTCCTTCTCTCTCTCTCATTATTATCCTCCCTCTCCTCCTCCTCCCCTCCTCCTCCTCATCCTCCTCGTCCTCCTCCTCCTCCTTTCCCTTCTCCCTCATTTCGTTCCTCCTCGTCCTTGTCCTCCTCTTCCACTCCTTTATTCCTCCTCCTCCTCCTCTCCCTTCTCCTCTTCGTTTTCCTCCGCTTCCTGCTTCTCGCTGTGGCCCCCTGGGAACTTAAGAACTTCTATGGTCCCAACAAATGTTCAGGCATCAGGTCCAGGAGTTTTCGGCAATCCTGGTGGCTTGGCCAGCGGCGCCTGGGGCCATGGAACAATTAAACATTTCAATTATTTCATGGTTTTAAGAATCAGGCGTTTGATTTTTTAAATGAAATGTTTAATGCTCTGGAGGTCCAGGAGTTTTCGGCAGTCCTGGTGGCTTGGCCAGCGGCGCCTGGGGACTCTGAATTTTCAAAATTCTCAGGCGTTTGAAAATGTTGTTATTCTTTTAATAACGCTCTGGAGGTCCAGAAGTGTTCGGCCATTCTGGTAGCTTTGTCTGCGGTGCCTGAGGCCTCGTAATTTTGCTTTTGATCATTGTTTTTCTGAACAATTTCAATGTCTTTGAAATTTGCAAACGCCCCTGGAGGCCCAGGAGGTTTCGGAGTTCGCTATGGCATATCGTGGGCTCTCTTTGAGATCTCTTGATTTCCATCCTGTGAATACCATGGAATGTTGCGAGAGCTCTGCCAAATTTCTGGGGTCCTTCTAAGAGGAGTTCCGGGATGCCCGCAGCGCACCCGCAACAAATGTGATGTTGTTGCGGGTGTTCTGGGCAGCTTCGTTCAGCATTATTCCCCACATCCTAAGTGGGGTTCTTGTTTTCTCTGCACACCCTCCGCGCAGGATCTCTCGTCCTCCTCCCTCTCCTCTGCTCCTCTTTGCTTCCTCCTCCGCATCATCATCACCATCACCATCACTCCCCACTCATCATCATCATCACCATCAGCATCACCATCACCATCGCACGATCACTCACCATCATCGGCATCGAACGATCATCATCATCATCATCATCATCATCATCATCATCATCATCATCATCATCATCATCATCATCATCATCACTCGCTGACTCACCACTTCGTCCCCATCATCATCACCACCATTTACCATCAGAATCGCACGATCACTCACCATCAGCACTCATCATCACCACCATCATCATCATCACGTCGTCATCATCACCACCACCACCATCATCATCATCATCATCATCATCATCATCATCATCATCATCAACACCGTCGTCATCATCCCATCACCATCATCCACCAAGAGGGAGCCTCGTCTGTGAGTGAATTGTGAGGAAGTCTCAGGCGGGAGCCCCCTCCCTATGGGGCCCGCAGATCATGTTACTAATCCGAGCGGGTCATCGGATTCCTGTAACTGTCGTCACTTTTGGGCTCCTCAGGTCTGAATTTGGAGGAAGTATCAAGCGGGAGCCTCGTCTGTGAGTGAATTGCGAGGAAGTCTCAGGCGGGAGCCCCCTCCCTATGGGGCCCGCAGATCATGTTATTAATCCTAGCGGGTCATCGGATTCTTGTAACTGTCGTCACTTTTGGGCTCCTCAGGTCTGAATTTGGAGGAAGTATCAGGCGGAGCCTCGTCTGTGAGTGAATTGTGAGGAAATCTCAAGCGAGAGACCCCTCCCTATGGGGCCCGCAGATCATGTTACTAATCCGAGCGGATCATCGGATTCCTGTAACTGTCGTCACTTTTGGGCTCCTCAGGTCTGAATGTGGAAGAAGTATCAAGCGGGACCCTCGTCTGTGAGTGAATTGTGAGGACGCGTCAGGCGGGAGCCCCCTCCCTATGGGGCCCGCAGATCATGTTACTAATCCGAGCGGGTCATCGGATTCCTGTAACCGTCGTCACTTTTGGGCTCCTCAGGTCTGAATTTGGAGGAGGTATCAAGCGGGAGCCTCGTCTGTGAGTGAATTGTGAGGAAATCTCAGGCGGGAGCCCCCTCCCTATGGGGCCCGCAGATCATGTTTTGAGGGAGTTTCTGTGGAACTCACGTCATCCTCACCCCCGGCGCGAAGAGCACGAGCCCAGAGCGGCCTCCGGCACCGTTTCCGGACGGATCCGCTGGATCCGCTGGATCCGCTGGATCCGACGAATCCCAAACCGGCGCCCTCGCCTGAGACATCCTCACAAAACGGGCCCCGGGGGGGATGCCCAGAGGAGCCCAGAGCGGCCTCCGGCACCGTTTCCGGACGGATCCGCTGGATCCGCTGGATCCGGTGACGAATCCCAAACCGGCGCCCTCGCCTGAGACATCCTCACAAAACGGGCCCCGGGGGGGATGCCCAAGGAGCCCAGAGCGGCCTCCGGCACCGTTTCCGGACGGATCCGCTGGATCCGCTGGATCCGGTGACGAATCCCAAACCGGCGCCCTCGCCTGAGACATCCTCACAAAACGGGCCCCGGGGGGGATGCCCAGAGGAGCCCAGAGCGGCCTCCGGCACCGTTTCCGGACGGATCCGCTGGATCCGCTGGATCCGCTGGATCCGGTGACGAATCCCAAACCGGCGCCCTCGCCTGAGACATCCTCACAAAACGGGCCCCGGGGGGGATGCCCAGAGGAGCCCAGAGCGGCCTCCGGCACCGTTTCCGGACGGATCCGCTGGATCCGCTGGATCCGGTGACGAATCCCAAACCGGCGCCCTCGCCTGAGACATCCTCACAAAACGGGCCCCGGGGGGGATGCCCAGAGGAGCCCAGAGCGGCCTCCGGCACCGTTTCCGGACGGATCCGCTGGATCCGCTGGATCCGGTGACGAATCCCAAACCGGCGCCCTCGCCTGAGACATCCTTACAAAACGGGCCCCGGGGGGGATGCCCAGAGGAGCCCAGAGCGGCCTCCGGCACCGTTTCCGGACGGATCCGCTGGATCCGCTGGATCCGGTGACGAATCCCAAACCGGCGCCCTCGCCTGAGACATCCTCACAAAACGGGCCCCGGGGGGGATGCCCAGAGGAGCCCAGAGCGGCCTCCGGCACCGTTTCCGGACGGATCCGCTGGATCCGCTGGATCCGGTGACGAATCCCAAACCGGCGCCCTCGCCTGAGACATCCTCACAAAACGGGCCCCGGGGGGGATGCCCAGAGGAGCCCAGAGCGGCCTCCGGCACCGTTTCCGGACGGATCCGCTGGATCCTCTGGATCCGGTGACGAATCCCAAACCGGCGCCCTCGCCTGAGACATCCTCACAAAACGGGCCCCGGGGGGGATGCCCAGAGGAGCCCAGAGCGGCCTCCGGCACCGTTTCCGGACGGACGACCTGACTGCATAACACGCCTGGATATGCCGACGGGGGCGAAGGAGGAGGAGGAGGAGGAGGAGGAGGAGGAGGAGGAGGAGGAGGAGGAGGAGGAGGAGGAGGAGAGGGGGAGGGAGGGTTGCGAGCCCCGCCCTGGGGGAGGGGCCCTGAGGGAGCCCTGATGGGCTTCCGGCACCATGGAGAGGTCCTGTGGGGCGGCCGCCCCTTCTTCTCTCGGTCGTTTCCCTCTCGCCCAGAAGCGCGCGCCCCTTCTTCTATATATACAGAAACTCCCGATCAACCGCAGAGCGGCGGATGTTACTAATCCGAGCGGGTCATCGGATTCCTGTAACTGTCGTCACTTTTGGGCTCCTCAGGTCTGAATTTGGTGGAAGTATCAAGCGGGAGCCTCGTCTGTGAGTGAATTGTGAGGAAGTCTCAGGCGGGAGCCCCCTCCCTAAGGGGCCCGCAGATCAGTAACTGTCGTTCTTTTGGGCTCCTCAGGTTTGAATTTTGAGGAAGTATCAAGCGGGAGCCTCGTCTGTGAGTGAATTGTGAGGAAGTCTCAAGCGGGAGCCCCTCCCTATGGGGCCCGCAGATCATGTTACTAATCCAAGCGGGTCATCGGATTCCTGTAACTGTCGTTACTTTTGGGCTCCTCAGGTCTGAATTTGGAGGAAAAATCAAGCGGGAGCCTCGTTTGTCAATGAATTGCAACAAATCTCAGGCGGGAGCCCCCTCCCTATGGGGCCCGCAGATCATGTTACTAATCCGAGCGGGTCATCGGATTCTTGTAACTGTCGTCACTTTTGGGCTCCTCAGGTCTGAATTTGGAAGAAGTATCAAGCGGGACCCTCGTCTGTGAGTGAATTATGAGGACGCGTCAGGCGGGAGCCTTCCTATGGGTCCCGCAGCTCACGTGGTTCCTCCGGGTCATCCTCCGGCGCGCGCTTCCTCTGGGTCGTCCTCCGGCGCGTATCGGCTGGGACGCACGTCGTGCGCTTCCTCTGGGTCGTGTTCCGCGCGAGGACGAGGAGGAGGAGGATTGCCAGGAAAAGGAGGAGGGATGATGCAGGACGAGACAGGAAAGCAGGAAGAGGAAGAGGCTGAGGGGAGGAAGGACGAGGAGGAAAAGGAGGAGGAGGAATGCCCGAGGAGGCCCCAGTAGGTCCCGGAAGGCCCAGAAGGCTCCAGGAGGCCCCA